CGAAAAACCTGCAATACTTCTTTTCAGCATGCAATGATAACGGCTTGTGTCCTTCTGGTTACTCCTGCACGCCATCAAAGCAATGCTGTCCAACAGCAAATATCACTGGTAAGGTTTTAGCGAAGGACCACATATTTTTGATAAGACGCTAAGAAAGAGCCGAAGGAAATGTTTTTTTACCTCGTTTCTTTTTTGAAATTCTCAATTTTCTTTTACAGTAGCTCCTACACGAGGTCCCCTACCAGTTGTGCCTGTTCTACCGACAGCTCAACCGGGTAAGGCTCTGGTATTTTAGCTATAATCGGGTAATAATCCCTTCTCTTATAGCCAGCGATTGCAACGATAAAATACATCCCGCTACGGGAATATCGGATTGTCCCGTTATCAAATTGTTATGTAACGTAGGCCAATATTTTGACTTGATGACTGAAGAATGCCCGAAAACATGCCAAAGATGCCCAGGTTAGTTGATATTTTGCTTTTGAGGTATGATGAACTATAAAATTGAGTTCTACTCAAAGTTGAGCCATGTATCCCAGGGTCTATCACAAATTGTGTGGATTTACCGCATCCAAAGACAGGAAAATCGGATTGCACAAAACGGAAGGATCTTTGTAATGTGGCGATTTACAGGCAGGTTATGAGGGTAAGCGTACCTTTAAATCCCCACTATCTTCTATGTATGGAATAAAGGAAATTTATATGTTATCCAGACTCAATGCCCAGTAACATGTAACTTCTGCACATCCAGAAGAACAGCTAGAAGTGCAGGAATAATGCATCCAGTTCTCAGAGGTTGCGCACTATAGCTAGACGTTTCCAATGAGGTTAAAGAAAGATACAAAAGATGAATTGGAAAATTTTAGAAATTACTGCTATGATCAGGAAGCATCCACCACTATCCAATTCCTTTGACCAGATATCTGAAGATAAGGGAACAAGCCGAAATCTTTCAAATCTCATCCCTCCCGGCGACAAAGATGAGGATTTGCAGTAGTTGTCTCAGCTTCTGGAAGCTAATTGTAAAACTACAACTTTGATACTCGATAAATTATTCTTTTTATAACATTCTGTTAACGAATATACGCTACTTTGTACAGTTATAGAATAAATATGTCAAGTAAATCGAAAAGCTGAGATTTCTATGTTTTC